GGGGGGGGGGGCCACCTGATGAGCTTCATGTTGAGCTGCTGGAAGGCGCAGGGCGGCTGGCGGCTGTGCTGGTGCACGTAGGTGACGTGCTGGGCCAGGCTGAGGGGCGGAAGTTGGGGGGTGAAAGTTTGGGGGCGGCCCCGCTGTGAGACCCCCGGCCCCCGGATCCCCCACAGCCCACCCCCACACCCCCCGCCCCGCGCATCCCAACTCATCCCACCCCCCTTATCCCACCCCACTGCCCCACACATCCCACCTCACCCCACCCCACAGCCCCACACACCCCATCCCCGTACCCCAGCCCCACTATCCCACCCCACAGCCCCCCTCCCCACCCCGCTCACCGCAGGTCTCGCTCCCTGTCGGGCCGGTCCTGCAGCACCCACAGCAGATCAAACCTGGAGAGCAGCGCCGCCGGCAGCCTCAGGTTGTGCTCCAGGCTGCGCCGCGCGTCGTAGCGCCCGTAGGCCGGGTTGGCGGCGGCCAGGACGGCGCAGCGGGCGTTGAGGGTGGCCAGGACGCCGGCCTTGGCGATGGAGACGCTCTGCTGCTCCAGCACCTCGTGAATGGCCGTGCGGTCGGCCTCGGCCATCTTGTCGAACTCGTCGATGCAGCAGATGCCGCGGTCCGCCAGCACCAACGCGCCGCCCTCCAGCGCCAGCTCCCCGCTCACCGGGTCCCGCAGCACCGCCGCCGTCAGCCCCACGCCGGAGGAGCCGCGGCCCGTGGTGTATTGGCCTGCGGGCAGCGCGGGGATCAGCCCCACGGCAACCAGCCCCACGGCGATCAGCCCCACGGCGATCAGCCCCACGGCGACCAGCCCCACGGCAAGATGGGGGAGCAGGAGAGCAGCAGCCCAGCCAGCCGACCAGCAACCCAACAGCCAACCCACCCCAGCAGCCCAACCCCCCACCCAACAAACCGCGACCCCCAGCACTCACTGCGCGGCGCCAGGCGGTCGATGTAGGTCAGCAGTTGGGATTTGGCCACTCCAGGGTCCCCCATCAGGCAGATGTTGATGTTACCTGGGGGACCCCACAGCTTCACAGGGGGCCCAAAGCCAAAGGAGCCCAAATCCCACCGCATGGAGCCCCAAATCTCACTATATGGGACCCCATATCTGCTTATAGGACCCTGGATCTGACTTCATGGAGCCCAAATCCCACTGTATGGGACCCCAAGTCCCACAGCATGAAGCCCCAAACCTCAATGAACACAGCCCTAAATCACACTTGGCGGACCCCAAAGTGGTGGACCCTCGCTGTATGGAGCCCCAAATCCCACTTTATGGAACCCAAATCCCAGCGCATGCAGCCACAAACCCCCTTTACAGACCCCAAACCCCCTTTACGGAGCCCC